TCTCGTGCCATGTCATCTCCTCTCATGGCTGCCACATGTCATCTCTCTTATCATCGTGCGATGTCGATCTCTTCTCATCTCGGTGCATGTCATCTCTCTCACCTCGCCTGGCATGTTCATCTCTCTCATGTCCGCGTGCATGTCATCTTCTCTCATCTCGGTGCACGTCATTCTGCTCTCATCTCGTGCATGTCATCTCTCTCACCTGCGGTGCATGTCATCTCTCGCTCTCCTCGTGCAATGTCATCTCTCGTCAGCGCGGTGCATGGTCACTCTCTATCGGCGGGGTGCTGTCATCTCTCTCATCGGCGTGCATGTCATCTGCTCGCATCGTCACGTGCATGTCATCTCGTCTCACCTCGTGCATTCACTCTCTCATCTCGTGCCATGTCATCTGCTCTCACCTCGGTGATGTATCTCTCTCACCTCGGTGCATGGTCATCTCCTCTTCATCGGGTGCGATGTTCATCCTCTCTCATCTCTGTGCATGTGATCTCTCTCACCTCGTGCATGTCATCTCTCTCATCGCGGGGTGCATGTCATCTCTTCTTGCAGTCGTGCCGCTGCATGTCATCTCTCTCATCTCGTGCATGTCATCTCTCTCATCTCGCTGCATCGTCGTGCCATTGTCATCTCTCTCACCTCGGTGATGTGTCATCTCTCTCATCGCGTGCATGTCATCTCTTCTCATCGCGGTGCATTGTATCTCTCTCATCCAGCGTGCATGGTCATCTCTCTCATCTCGGTGCATGTCATCTCTCTCACGCGTGCATTCATCTCGCGTCATCGGGCGGGTGATGCTTCAGTCTCTCTCATCGCGTGCATGTCATCTCTCTTCATCTCGGTGCATGCTCATCTCTTCATCTGCATGTCCATCTCTCTCATCGCCGGGGGCGGCGGGCGCCTGGCGGGGCGGGGCGCGGGCGGCGCGGTGTATGTCATCGCTCTCATCTCATGCATGCATTCTCTCTATGCTCCCTCGGTGCATGTCATCTCTCTCATCTCGGTGCATGTCATCTCTTCTCATCTCGGTGCAGTCATCTCTCTCATCTCGTTCATGTACTATCTCCAATCTCGGTGGCATCTCCGCTGGCATGTCATCGTCTCTCATCTCGGGGTGGCATGTCATCTCTCTCATCTCTCTCAGTCTCGGGGTATGTCACTCTCTCCTCATCTCATGATTCTCTCTCTGTGATCTCGGCGCATGGTCATCTCTCTGCATCTGAGGGGGTGCTATGTATCAGTCTCTCTTATCTGTGGCAGGTGTCATCTCTCCTCACCTCGTGGCGATGTCAGCTCTCTCACCCTCGTGCATCTCGCGTGCATGTAATCTCTCTCACCTGTGTATGTCATCTCTCTCATGCTTCGTGTAATGTCATCTCTCTCATCTCATGCATCTCGTGCATGGCTAATCCTCTCTCACCTGAGGAGGCGTGGTATGGTGCATGCTCTTATCTCGTGCAATGTCATGTCTCTCTCTCATCTCGTGTATGTCACCCACGTGTCGCTGCCAATGTAATCTCTCTCATCGCCGTGTATGTCATCTCTCTCATCTCGGTCGCTACCACCCGGAGTGCATGTATCTCTCTTATTCATCGCTGCATGTCATCTCTCTCATCTCTCTTCATCTCGTGTATGTCCATCTCTCTCATTCTCGGTATTGTCATCTCTCTCATCGCGTGTATTGTCATTATCTCTCAATCTCGTGCCATAGTCATCTCTCTCAGTTCGCGTGCTATGTCTCTCTCTCATCTCGCTGCATGCTCATCTCGTCTCATCTCGCTGCTGTCATCTCTCTTCATCTCTCTCATCTCGGTATGTCATCGTCTCTCATCTCATGCATGTCAATCTCTCTTAATCTCGTGCCATTGTCATACTCTTCTTGTATCATCTCGTGCATGTCATCTCTCTCATCTCGTTCATGTCATCTATCTCATCTCGTGTATGTCATCTCTGCTTCATCGCGTGCATGTTCATTCTCTCTTCGATCTCGTTCATGTCATCTCTCTCATGCTCGTGCATCTCGTGCATGTCATCCTCTCTCAACCTCGTGCAATGTCATCTCTCTCATCTTCGTGCATGTCATCTCTCTCAGACTCGCTGCATGTCATCTCTCTCATCTCATGATGTCATCTCTTCATTTCGCGTGCATGTCATCTCTCTGCATCGCCGTGCATGTCATCTCTGCTTCATCGCGTGCATGTCATCCTCTTCATCTCTACTCCATCTCGTGACCATGATCATCTCTCTTCATCTCGTGGCATGTCATCTCTCTCATCTCGTTGCATCTCGTGCCATGTTCATCTCTCTCACCTCGTGCATGTCATCTCTCTCATTGCGCTGACATGTCATCTCTCTCAATCGCGTGCATGTCATTCTCTCTCATCTCGCTGCATGTCATTCTCTCTCATCTCGTGGCAGTGTCATCTCTCTCATCGCCGTGCATGTCATCTCTCTCATCGCGTGGCGGCATTGTCATCTCTCTCTCGCGTGCATGTCATCTCTTCTCATTCGGCATGCTCATCTCTACTCATCTCGGTGCATGTCATCTCTCTCATCGCGTGTATGTCATCTTCTCTCATCTCAGCTATTGTCATCTCTCTTATCTCGTGCATGTGTCATCTCTCTCATCTCGTGCCATGTATCTCTTCTCATCTCGTGCATCGTTCCATCTCTCCATCTCGTTGCATGTTCATCTATTCTTCATCTCGTGCATCTCGTGCATTGTCATCTCTCTCATCTCGTGCATGTCATCTCTCTCATCTCTCTCATCTTCGTGTATGTCATCTCTCTCATCTCATGCATGCTCATCTCTCTTATCTCGCGGCGATGGTCATCTCTCTCCATCTCGTGCATGTCATCTCTCTTATCTCGTGCATGTCATCTCTCGTCACCTCGTGCATGTCATCTCTCTCATCTCATGCATCTCGTGCATGTAATCTCTCTCACCTCGTGTATGTCATCTCTCTCATCTCGTGCATGTCATCTCTCTCACCTCGTGTATGTCATCTCTCTCATCTCGTGCATGTCATCTCTCTCATCTCGTGTATGTCATTTCTCTCATCTCGTGCATGTCATCTCTCTCATCTCATTCATGTCGTCTTGCATCAAGTGCATGTCGTCGTCCTTTCGTCGTTTCAGTGCATGTAATATGTATACATATACGGATTCAGTACTCGGCTATCTCTTATCAGATGTGTTTATATATGCATTTCTCTGGACTTTGCATCGATCAGGGAACACAAATATACATAGCCCCTAGTCTACCCTGTGCCTGCGCGTGCAACGTATCGCTTCGAAACCCACATGGATCGCTGTGTTCTGTTACATGCGCTCGGATTTTATCAGGAGTTTATAATGATATTATACGTTCTTGATCTCTATCTACCCCTCTCTCTGTCGCTCGCTCTCTCTCTCTAGTTTTCATTGTCTTTCGCTCTATCCTAGTTTCGGAGATAGTGGTGATTGCGGACACTGTACGCACTTCATCTGATTCCCTGATTCCTTTGATAAATAAATGCTCTATAAGTGTACGACATCAAGCCTACCGGCTACCTACGCAGAGCATTACCGGGTATTAGACCGTAGCATTATCGGATATAACCATGAACGTTATTACAAATAGCAGTGAATTTGATGCCAGGAGTAAATGATCACAATTCGTGATTATTTGCTCCTGATGCTACATACATACAGCTATAGGTACGATATCTACGGCGATGCAACTTCGCTTTCGCATTTGCATAATTAATCTTCAATTGACAATCCTGCAATAATCATGACTATGCTAACGCTTTGTACGCGTACATATTGAAATTGAAAAGAAAACAATAATGAGGGACACGCACTCAGATTTCTACAGATGCAGTGCCAGTACACAACTATATCGATTTTCGGCTATCATATTTCCGACGTCTCTAAACAATTCGTCATAGATCTGCCGCCCCGATTGAGCAACATATGTTCACATTTGATATGCGTACATAAAGGAGGCGTAGACTAGTGGACAGTTTCAATGACAAATAAATACGGCATGTACATACTTACTGCCAAAGGCTCAATGTGTATCTATTCTCTTTCGCCTACTATAAGTAATAGTTCCACGTAAATGCAGTTTCAACGTCAATTCCCCACAATATTAAATTATTATAACACACACGCACACGCACACGCAAACGCAAACGCACGCGCACATGCACTCGTACTCGCACGCACACGAACGCGCACACGCGCGCTCACACACACACGTACACACGTATATTCTAACATTTTATATTCTAGTGTATTAACTATTATGAACCTTCCGCTATATCATGCAACCATTGGCTATGTTCGATAAAACTAATATATGGCGCAATCATCTTCTGCGTGCATTAATTGGTTTTGCCATAGAGATCACAGGCACGTGAAACGTCTCAATAAAAAAAAATAATGGTAAATATTGAACGAAATGTATTTACTACCAAAGTCTTAATATTTCTCTACTCTATTTCGCCTATAATCACCTGTAAATGCCGGTCAAATGCTCATCTGCAACACACAAGTACACCCCACGCCCGCGCTGTGCACAAACAACATGAACAAGAGAGTTATTCATGTATATTAATTATTATGTGCGCTCTCTCACGATATTCATGTATCATATTCATGTACATTATTCATGTACAAGATATATTCATGTATATTATGTGCGCGTATATTATGTGCGCGTATATATATTATGTGCCTCGATCTCTTATTCATGTTGTTTGTGCACAGCGCGGGCGTGCGGTGTACTTGTGTGTTGCAGATGAGCATTTGACCGGCATTTACAGGTGATCATAGGCGACATAGAGTGAGTAAGACTTTGGTAGTAAATACATTTCGTGCTTATATTTAGTTACCTTCTTTTTTTATTGAGACGTTCCAAGTGCCTGTGATAGAGATATTACAAAGACAGTATACATATATATATATATATATATGTACTTATTAACAAAAATACACATTCTGCGCCTTACCGTATTCCTTAGGGCGAAGACTGCGCGCCAACTCTATCCACACTTGCAAGCTTAATTAGGTGTTATTTATAGATGTCGGTGAAATTACATGCAGATCACACTATACCGAGTTCAGCACAGTATATATACCAAGTCCTATTCCAAGCAAGGTCTTGTTTGTCGCTCACTACGAGCGTTCCACTTTCTGCGTAGCACAGCCACAGTACACTGTTCTTTGTGCGACTCCGTGACGGCTCTGCTAGGGTACTACTACGTTTGCGTGTGCAAATCACACAGCGAACAATCTGCCGGCGGGCATGGCCCGCAGTTGTTACAGGTTGCGCGTAGATGGGCGCCTTGGTGTTTGATTTGTGTTGGAGCACGGGTTCCTCTAATCGCACCGTCGCGATACTCCCCCCGCCCCCCACGGCTGAGTGTGGCGTACAACATATTATAACTGCCCGCGTTGTCGGAAAGGACAGATCGTTGCTCTTTTGCGCAAGCATAGACGCGTTTCTCTCTCACATCATTTACGCAAACGCCTGCGCTCAGTGTGGAGGAGGGGGGCGCGTTTTATAATCAAGTTTATATTAGCCTGAACTTCTATATAAAATTACTAGCGGGATACCCGGCGTTGTCCGTGGAAATCAGTGGCGTTACTCAGTTGGTAATCGCTTGGTTGAAAGGAAAATACCCCAAAAAATCTAACTACCTATCTATCCATGCATCCATCCATGCATCCATCCATCCATCGCATCCCATGCCATGCCATCCCATCCCATCGCACCGCACCCCATCCCATCCCATATCCCATCCCATCCCATCGCATGTCATCTCATCGCATCCCAGGCCATGCCATGCCATGCCATCCCATCGCACCGCATCCCATCCCATCCCATCCCATGCCATGCCATCCCATCTCATCACATGCCATCCCATCCCATCCCATCCCATTCCAACAGTAAAAAATAATAAGAAATCAAAAGATAAGTCATTAAAATAAAAAAGTCAAAATAAAATTATATAGAAAATATCATATTTGATATGTAACCTACATAGGCTTCCGTGAAATGTTCCCGTCAGTTTGCGCTATCATTATCATCTACAATAGTTTATTCTGGATTTTTACTAAACGTTTAAATGTGGTAAAAAAATTTAAATGTTGAAACTAATGGTGAATACGGCAGAAGTACATACTAAACAGTCCAAAAGTAAAGAAACAAAGAATTTCCCGAGGTGGGATTCGTACCCAGAATCAATGGTTTAGGAGTGCGATGCTTTATCCATTCGCCTACTGGGCCGTTATAGTTATACACCATGGATTGACACGTATGTGATGTATAATGTTAATCTGTACGCCATCTATTGATGAATATAATTTTCATAAACTTTTTAACTTCCCGGACGTGCTGATTCTGAAAATATATTTAGTTTTCCTCTATGCTTCGGAGTTTTCTAGTTATGCGAGAACACACAAATTCGGCTGAACAACTTTATATATATAGATATACATAGAATTAAGAGCTAATAAATACCTATGGGTATTTATACCTATAGGTATTTAGGTATAAATATAGGTATAATTATAAAATATATAATATAGGTATAAATACCTATACGTATTTATTAGCTCTTGATAGAATACATATATACATATCAAGAGTACACAATAGACATCTCTATTATGTACTCTTGATACATATATATCAGGATATATATCTATAGATAGATATCGTTCTACTCCTGATATATATATATTTATATACATACCTACATACCTAGAATTATATTGATTGAAGTTTACTATATATTATTGCTGTCATATGTCCTTATTATAGATCTTCTACAGAAAAACTGATAGTGCAAATATTCCGATGAATGTTCGTCTGTTCGTCTAAAGGCTGTTGTTTGTGCGGCTATAGGCGACTGACCGGTTGGTACCTGGGGGCTGAAAATTGGTCCACAGTGGTAACCTGACCAGAGGGACTGTCGTGTGATAGGTACCGTTGACCTCAGATGTCACTGGAGGTCACATGAGGTCATCGGAGGCCAAAAACAATCCTTTGTGGATAAACGAAGCTAGATAGAGAGTTCGTTATGATCAGAAGTAGATAATATGGAATTCCATATTATCAGGATATTATCCTATTATCTACTTCTGATATTATCTACTTCTGTTATGATGTACAAAAATATCCATTGACCCCACAAATGGGTGGGCGGATGAGGTCGGATCCGACCTCCGAGGTCACTGGAGGTCATATGAGGTCGCGGATGAACAGTAATGGAATTTATGGCCAACCGAAGCGAGATACGGACATTGTATAAGTTTTCCCCGACCCCACAGATGGTTTGGTGGATGAGAATATAGTTTTACAGAATATCGTTTACCCCTTCATATTTTGTTTCTCTATTACGACTCTATCCTTAGAATTAGGTACTTATATGTGCCAGAATTTGCTCTAAGCCTAGTAATTGTTCCTAATCACTTTTTTTGCGAGCGCACCCCAGCTATCACGTGATCGATATATCGGTATTTTATATACACAGCATGCATAATGAACTTTCAGAAAATAATTACATTGGATTCATCGAAGAGAATATAAAAATGTTGTTTATCTGAGATATCAGCAGAGTATCTCGAACAGCTCCATGGATGGATCAATCAATGGTACCTCTTAACCCGATCGGTGACAGTGTATAGAAGAACAACATGTATCGTTCGGCAGCGCAAACTAGCATAGACGCAATCACGATGGATGCACGGCTCGTCGGGTCGCCGATGTCTAGACTGACTCCGTGAGTTGTTGAGGAATCAGGACTGACCGCAGCCAGGGACTGCTAGAATCAGTCTAGCCGCAACGTATAATCACATTGGAAACTCGCTGGAGAGAAGGGCGACTTTACCGGGTGCAGTCTACACGTTTGCAACCACCGGGGCACCGCGGCCCGCATGTGCGGCAGGCCGTGACAGGCAGCGGGCTCCCTGGGGACGTATCTGGTTGCAGGACGGGCACATGGGTACCGTTGTTTTTGTCGAGTCGTGCGCGGTGAGTCGGAGCGAGCTGTCGGTCGGTCTACTGTGCAACTAGAATTGGGGTGTCAATATTCAAGCCGGTAAGGGAGATTACGGTACGCATATATTTGCTAATATATTGACTAATAAACTCAATATTCACAGAGAGTATAGCTAAGACATGTGTCTATAGGATATATTATGCAAATGATCTCCCGTACCGGCTTGAATTCATACTCTCTGTGAATATTGAGTTTATTGACGCACGATTAGTCAATATAGCAAATATATGCGCGCAGAAGTGAATTACAGATGATTACATTTCTAAAATTCTAGATACCTATTGACACATGTCT